ATAAATCACACAAATCATATGCAGTGGCCAAACTGTTCTCCGAAGGGAGCCAGAGCTTGGTCTCTGCAGAGCTCAGGCAGCAGAGAGCGAAGCAATTCCTCCTGCCCTGGAGAAAAACCCATTTTCAGAAAAGTCTTTCTTGGTCATGCAAGCTGATAAGCAAATATTTTAAATGTGGTGGAGGGTGCTTGGAAGATTAACTGCTTAGAAAGTGAATGTGTGTGTGTATATATATATTATATATTCATATATATTCTGTCTTTCAGCTTTCACACCCAGACTATGGTGGGTATCTCACTGTAGATCATAGAAGTGACATGATGGAGGTAGCTGTTATGGTAAATGGTTACAATCCTATTTATTTCAGTCCTGGTCCTCCAACTGGATTTGCATAAAGGCATATATGTAAACATGAGCAGCACCCCTGAATACAGCCCCAAAGAATTCTTGTGGCAGTGCTGGGTGAGTGGTGAGGACCCAGTGGGAACTGAGTCTGTCTCTGGTCCATAAGGCTGAGATCTGCCCTTGATTTGTTCTGCAGCTCTCTGAGTGCTCTGTAAATGTCTGAGCTTGGCAAGGAAAATTGCAACTGATTGTAAATTTCTTGCAAAAATGGACCTTCAGCAGGGCTAAACCAATTTGCAAAATCAAGGTGAATTTGGGAAGTAATTTTGGCCTCCCCTCCTCCCCTTAAGAAACAAGGGAGGTGTTTTTGGAAGTACCAACACAGCTTGACTCTGACATTTCCTAAAACCATGCTTTTAAATGTTTGCAGGTTGTGTTGTTGGCTTGCCTGTGCTTATAAGGGTGAGGGAGATGACTGGCTAATTAGCTTGTAAACAAAATAATTTCTTTTGCTTTGCATCAAATGAAATATTTTGGGTTGCTGAGTCAGACTCATGCATGTTTAAAAACATTTTGGCAAAAGAAATTAAATTAGAAGCAAAGGGGGTGAAGGGAGAAAAGTACCCCGTGGGGACAGCCCTCCTCTTGAATGAAGGGCTGACTCTTGAAAGCAGTCTCATGGAGCGGGAAACAGCTGAGGCACTCAAGTTGCTGATGTTTTTTCTTGGAGTGTGGGGGGGTATCGCTCTGTAGGTGACTGATGCTAAACCCAGTTTGGTGGGTGAGCCTCTGCTTCCAGGTACTCTTCAGCCAGTGCCATGAGCCTGAAGAGGAATCAGCTGCTTAACGTCAAATGAGTGACAGAGACTGTGATTAGTGCTGGATACAGCAACAGCCGTTGAAGGAGAAAGCCCAGGGTTTTGTCTCTGGAGGAGGTTGTTGCATTACCTGGAGGCCACCCCTCATCCTGCTTTCCTGCTCATCCTTGGCCTCTTCCTGTCTCTGTGCCACCAGCCTCTTCTCCACCTCATGGCTTTGAAGCCATGGTGTGTGGCTCAGTGTGGTGCAGAGGTCTCTCCACCTTCGAGGGGAGGGCATCTTGATTTCCAGCACAGGGGCAAGGAAGTATTTGGAGAGGGACACACCAAACCCATGAGGAAGGAAGTGGGTATGCAGCATTTCTGGGGCTCAGATCTCACTGGAGTAGTGGCTATGGAGATTTTTCCCAGCTCCTTTTGCTTTTGCTCCTTTAAGGAAATAGGATTTTTGTGAGGTTTTTTTTTTGGTTTTTTTGGTAAATAAACAAGATTAGCAAAGATCTATTTTTTCTTTTCTAACAGTAATAAGGATTAGGCAGCACTGGGGCCAGAGGATCACCAGTCATAAACGAATCAAAAGAAACTGTGAAATCCAGTATATAATGCATGATGGTGCAGGGCTCCAAGACCGAAGTGGGCAGCAGGCATCACCACCTGCACCACCTGCTGTGGGACACAAGAGCTGTGCCTTCAGGTGTGCCTTTGGGTTGTGCGCTGGAGCTGTGGCAGCTCAACAGCCAGACGGCTGGGGGTGGGGAGCATATCAGCTGACTGACTTGCATCAGTTTGGGCCCCTGGCTCACTTTTCTTTAGGGTAGTATTCATGTAAATGTGCCAAAAGCAGCAGCAGTGCTGGGCCCTTGCTGCTAAACCTCTGCCTCCATCCAGTGTGCAGCCTGGCTGCGTGTTGAGTGGCCCATGACCTCCAGAGAGGAAAAAGATTTTTCTCCCTGAAGTTAATATTTTTAAAGTACTTAATGTTTCCTCTCTCAATAAGTGGCTTTGGTGGAAGGGCAGTTGAGCCGTGTCTGGCAGTGATGAAACGGGATCACAACTCCAGCTGACAGCAACTTGGTATGATCGTACTCAGTTTCCCTCTTGTGGTTTGCAAAGGAATTAACTGGAAGGATATTTAATTACTTTCCCAGTTGAATACGGCCAAGCTATGCTGGTGTGCAGGGGTCTTCATCCTGCAGTCCTGGTCCATTCAGAGCTTCACCTGAGAAGATCCAGATGGCATTGCTGAATTCTGTTAAAGCTGTAGCTCTGCCCTTCATATCGTGATCACAGATTTTCACCTCTGCTTTTCAATGCAGAATAACTGAAGCTGTTAGATGAGGTCTGAGGTGTCCTTCCATCAGGAGATATTTTCTCACATTATCTCTCCCTCATGCTGTTTTCTGCCTGCTACAAAGGCCACAAGCTCTCTTAGGCAGGATCTGTCCTTACTTCTGCCTGCAAAGAGCTGAATACAAGGCCTAAGTTCCTATAATGTATATCTTAAAAGCTTCTGTGGGGAACTGGTGAGGGCCTGCACTCCACTGAAAAAGGAAGGAGCCTCAAAAATAAAAGGGGGGTGTAAAAGAAGGGAGATCACACAAATCAGGGAAGTCACTAAAGAGCCACTGTGTCCACCAAGGTCTGGGTAGAATAGAGGTCCATAGAGGTGTGGCAGTGGTTGACACTGAGGGACTGCCATGAGTTCTTACCATGGTGGTGAAGGGAAGAGAGGCTCTGTTTGACAAGAGTTTAATTTTTTTGGGACTGCTTTTTCGCCCTAATCCTGTAGAGTCCCTGAGGAAGATGTTTGGCATCCTCCCCTCTCCCTGCTCGTACTGGAGGGACTCAGCATCCTGCAGAGACGGCAAAGGAAATCACAGGATTATTCCCCATGGTGATTATCCTGTGATCTCTCAGGGCTGTATAAATGGGAGATGATTACAGCTAGAAAAGGAGTAAATTGTGTAATTAGAAAGGGAGACGAGGGAAGGACTTCACCTCTGCCTGATGATGCTAGTTTGGAGATAAGAGTGGAAAAGAGAACATGGAGCAGTGTCTATGCTGGGACCCACAGCATCAGAAAGGGTTATCATTGACCTTGTCCCTGACTGCTCCTGCCACCTTGGGCAAGCCCTTTGGTCTCCTCCTCCAGAGAAAGCACAAAATAATACTTTCTGCTGTATCTCTTAGCCAATTTCTTTGGGAAGAAAGGGGATCTCCCTCATGCCTGTCCATCTTGCCCCAGGCTTGCAATGTGGTTGGCTTATGAGTGGGCTGGCCACACTCTGGCATTAGCATTACCCCAGATTTCCCTCTGGGACTTGTCACAAATAGTTAGAAGAGAAGAGCTGTTGCAGGATCAAGTCCTCAGCGGTTCTGTGTTGGGTGTAAGATAACCAAGATCTTCCTTGTTGCTCTACACAGAGCAGGAAAGAGCATTTTGCCTCCCTTTCCACTTATTATTGACACTGCCTGGCCTGGGCCAGAAAACGTGTCTGTTCCCATTGCAGGCAAAAAAGCACACAGCACAATTACTCTCAGAGCCATGGTGAGGGAGGCTATTAATGTGAATATTATTCATGCCAGGAAAAATAGCCAATTACCTTCCTATAGAACCACTCTCTGCCCAGTGAGCCAGTAATTGCAACATCTAACATTTGTCACTGAGCTCTGAAAGCACTTTGGGGACAAAATACTGACAAATGGATTTGGACTTAAAAGAAAAAGACAGGGAAAAAAGTAAAGTACTAGATATTCAGGAGGTGTAAATGGCTGCAAAGGATATATTCACACTTACACCTCGTCCTGCAGATGCAAAAATTTGGCTTTCTCTTATATCTACTCTATGTTTTAAAGGTGCATAATTGTATTAACATAGATGTTTAATAAACTGAAGAGAAAAATAGTATGTGACTTGAGGTGGGGATGCTGCCAAAGGGGCTTCTTGTATTTCTCCATGTTTAAGGTGTTCAGCTGTGCAACTGGAAGTGACTGAAACAAGTTTTTGCAGTTAATTTCCCAGGTTTATCAATGAAATAACCAACAAAGGGGAAATCCATCTTTCCCTTTCTCCTTCTCCTCCTTGGAGGAGGAAGGAAAGACAAAGACCTTTTAAGAGCTGCGGGGTTTGCACATTGCACACATACTTACTCTGCTGTACTGCGCTGGAGGCCACGTTTCACTCTCTGCCTGTGCCCAAGTGCTCCATGGACAGCATCTGGAGATCTGATGAGTTTCCAAAGATCCATTAATGCTGTCACTTGCCGAGGCCTCCTGGAACCCACAGGCTACGTGCTTCGAGGCCTGTGATAGACACATCTTGGTATCACAAGCTGTGTGGGAATCTCATCTTGAGGGTGCCTTCCCTGTTCACCGATGGAAGAGTTAACTGCATGGATCAGAGGACTCCGGTTATTTCATGGAGCTGTTTGGGGTTACCCGTGCGTAGTCAGAAGGAGAATTTAGCTGGGTGTCTCCAAAATGCTGTGGTTTTGCAATCTGTAGAGTCTGTCCTTTAAATTGCTTGGCGAGCAACAATCCTCATTTATCATGTCAGCTGTGATCCATGGAACAGGAACAGCCTCACTGTTTCCTGAGGACTAGCCCACCCTTCTCTTTCAAGGAAAACAAATCTACACTCAAATTGCTGCTGCTCTGAATTTGCTTTTCACCCTGAACCTGCCCCCCAAATGCCCTTCAGGATGTACCAGAGGGTTTGCCTTTTTTGTTCTGAGTGCAGATGCTGGTGCACAATCAGGGCTCTAGGGGCAGGCATACTCTGAGCAGGTATGTAAAATAATTTAAAAATTGTGCAAAAATGTCAGTCTATTTTGAAAGATGGTTGTAAAGAGAAGGTACGTCCCTCTCCACAGCTCGCTCTCCTCTGTGCAAAGGGTCACCCGTGGGCTTTTGTCACAACGCCCAGTAATTTAATTCCTGCTATCTGGTGTTACTGCAACCACAGGGCTCTGCCTTCAGAACCAGCATCTGACTCTGACCCTAACTCGCTTCATTTTGAAGCTCAGCCTCTCATCCTCGCACCTTTGTGCGGAGATGGCGCCTGTCCTCCTGCCCGCGCCCACCCACGGTACCGACGGAGCACGAGCAGGGCCCGAGGGCCGCCGCCGCCTGCCCCGTCCCTCCTCTCCCCGCTGCTCCCCCGGCCCGTCTGTCGCTCTGTCGGTCGGTCACAGCCCCTCTCCAGAGCCCCGAGCGGGTCGATACGTCTCGGCGTTCGCTTGGCCACGCCTGTCGCCCTGGAGAAGAGGCGGAGCCCGCCCGGCGCCTTTCCCGCCTCCAGCGCGGCGCGCGCGGGACGTTGCCGCTGCGCTGCCCCGGGAGGCGATGGTGAGTGCGGGGA